AAAAAGGTGAGTTTGACTCACTTAAGTCACAGGCGGGTCCCACACGCGTTTTAACTTTAATCAATCACCTAATTTCAACCACAAATTCATGACCTACATATTTTTCTTGTTCATGTCATATTTTTGTTTCCCAAAAATACTGATAAAATTTTCACGCTTATCGGTACAATTATACCGCAGTATTTTTACACCGGAAAATCACTATTCATCAATGTTTCCCAAAATGACTCAATTCCATCAAATTTCATCAAAATCATATTTCCTAACTCAAAAAAACATTTACAACTCATATTTGAAACCTAGAGCTCAAAACTCAATCGGCACGTTTTACGGTGCAATCGTACCGCGATATTTTTACCCGCGAAAAACACTATTCACTGATTTTTCTGAAACTTGCCTGTCCACTCAATTTTTCGTTCTGAACCCATTTCCAGGGTTATTTTTACCATCTGAGACCTTCTACTCAATTTTTATCTTCCTAGGGTTGCGTGTTGGCTAATTACCGTTTTGCCCTTTCTTTGTATTTTGGCCTAATCTTTTGGATTTTCACTAATCCATCACTTGATTGCTCACTTAATATTTTAATTACTTGATTTAAAATTGTGAGGTGTTATAGTAGGTCTAGTAGGGTCATCCATCCACCTGAGAGGTATGGGTTTGTGATTGAGAATCAACAAACCGTCGAGGATGATGAACCTAGTAACTATGAGGAGGCAGTCGAGGATGTTGACTCCTCTAAATGGCTTGAAGCCATGGAATCTGAAATAGATTTGATGCATTAAAACAAGGTATGGAACTTAGTTCCAAAACCGCAAGGAATAGTTTCTATCGGTAATAAATGGGTCTTTAAAAGAAAGACTAATGCAAATGGCAACGTTCGAACCTACAAAGCTAGGTTAGTTGCGAAAGGATATCGTCAAAGACAAGGAGTTGACTATGATGAGACTTTCATACCAGTTGCCATAATCAAATCTATTAGGATTATGCTTGCCATAGCAGCATATCACGACTATGAAATTTGGCAAATGGATGTCAAGACCGCCTTCTTGAATGGATTCTTGAAGGAGGAAGTGTACATGACACAACCTAAAGGTTTTGAAGCCAAAGGCCAACAACATATGGTATGCAAACTGCAAAGGTCAATATATGGGCTAAAGCAGGCATCACGGAGTTGGAATATTCGTTTTGATGAAGTCGTTAGAAGTAACGGTTTCATCAAGAACGAGGATGAACCTTGTGTTTACAAGAAGGTTAGTGGGAGTAATATCGTTTTCTTGGTACTTTATGTAGATGACATATTCCTAATAGGAAATGACATCCCCACATTACAAAAAACAAAAGACGGGCTTTCAGAAAGCTTCACCATGAAGGATTTGGGAGAAACGACCTTTATACTTGGTATAAAGATCTATAGAGATAGATCCAAGAGGCTGCTGGGTTTATCTCAATCCACGTATGTTGATGACACGAGCTGTCGAACTCGCGCAAATTAAAAATTAATTCTTTAGGGTTCAGAAAATTTGCAGTAAAGTGGAAACCCTAAGTCGTCTCTCAAGGAAATTGTTTTGGTTAAAATCGCTTATGAGAACAGAAAATTAAAAGGGGGATTTTGGATTTTGATTCAATAATTAAAAAGGCAGAATATAAATTTGGAATAAAAATTCGTAATTAAAAATAACCAACCTAAGGTTTGGGTTCCATGGATGTCTTTCCTCGGATAAGAAGATATCAGAATCGTGATTGATTTGTCAATCGGATCAGAATCCTTATTTCCAATTGACAACCCTCTCTAAGCGATCGCTTAGCATTTGATCAAAGACGATGCTTCTACTCATACAATCGCAGAGTATCAGCCCGCTTGATTTAAGGTCATAGGGTCAATCAACCTAATCATCAAATCTGATGATTAATCCCTTTCCATAATCGCAATCGCGAACCTCAGATTGAATATCCACGATCGCACGATATCAATTTGAGTTGGGAAGGGAATCAAAACTGATTTGAAATAAACGCAGATCCTCAAGACCAATCCATGGAATCCATTACCCTTAGGTTGATTAAAAGGTTCTTAGCCTCGCATGGCTAAGGTAAACATAATTGAAATAAAAAGAAGAAGAAGAAGAAAAAAGATGAAGAACGCAATTGAATAAAAACTCAGAGAGAACTTCTCTGTTGTAAAAACTGACTGCCAAGGGTTTCCTAGAGTCCCCTTTAAATAGCTGTCACGCAGGACGGCTAGGGTTTCATCGCTTCAGCCCAAAGATAAAATAAAAGCTAAATAAAAAATAAAACAATAAAATAAAACATGGCCTTGGGCCCTAAACACATTGGGTCCTAATGTGAATTACAAGTCCAAACGTCAAAATAAAATTCCAGCAAAATACGTCATCTTGAGATCAAGTTTCGACCATTGTCCGTCCGAATTGGGCTTCAGTAGCTGAAATAGAGATTGTAGCCCTATCTCTTAGCTGCAAATAGAAACAAGAACGGAGTCAATCGGACATCTGTAAAGTGAGATATGGTCAAAATACAAAAGTAGTGTAAATCTGGAAAATTATGACGAAAATCAATTAAACCCAACTAAAATCTAGAATAGTGAATTGACCCAAAAGACCTTTATTTAATTCAAATAAATCATAAAAATACCAACCAAGAGTAATAAATAAGTGTAACAAAATATGAGTTATCAGTTGACAAGATGCTAAAGAGGTTTAGCATAGAAGGGTCAAAAAAAGGTTTTCTTCCCGTCAGTCATGGGGTACATCTTTTCAAGGCTATGTGTCCTAAGTCACAACCTGAGAAGGATCGCATGAGTGGAATTCCATACGCTTCGGCTATTGGATCCATTATGTATGCCATGATATGTATGAGACCAGATGTCTTATATGCTTTGAGCATTACGAGCAGATACCAGTCTGACCCTGGTGAGGGTCACTGAACAGCAGTCAAGACCATCCTTAAGTACTTAAGAAGAACTAAGGATGTATTTCTGGTCTATGGTGGGGTGGATGAGCTTTCAGTGAAAGGATTCACTGATGCCAGCTTTCAGAGTGACAAAAATGATTGCAAGTCATAGTCAGGGTTCGTATTCACCTTAAATGGTGGGGCAGTGTCTTGGAAGAGTTCCAAGCAGGAGACTACAGCAGATTCAATGATAGAAGCTAAATACATAGCTGCTGTAGAAGCGGCTAAAGAGGCCGTGTGGATCAAGAAGTTCATATCTAAACTAAGGGTAGTTCCAAGCGTGGATGAGCCCATAACCTGGCTCCATTGCGCAGTCAAAGGAACCTAGGTCTCATCAAAGATCTAAGCACGTGCTCCGCAGATATCACCTGATTAGAGAAATTATTGATAGGATGGATGTAAAGATGGATTATGTTTTCACTGATGATAACCTGGCTGATTCTCTGAAGAAGGTTGTTTCTCAGAGAAAACATGATAGTCATTATGAGGCTTTGGGTATACGTCTTAGGTCTGATTGGCTCTAGGCCAAGTGGGAACTTGTTAGTATATAGATGTCCTAGAGATAATCTTTTGATTAGATTAGGAGATTTGTGTACCTTTTATATTATCGCAAATAAATCATAAGCACTCTTTATCCTGTTTCATATTTTGTCTCAATATCATTGTTTATATATTATATGAGTAACTGGATAAATCCCTTGGAATAGAATAGGTATCTCTTGAGTATCTGTGATGAGATCACGATCATGAGGATTCAAGGATACCAGATGTTTATTCCTAATTTTATGTTCCTAGTCTAGAGACACTGAGAATGGGGATCAGTAATCTCGGGTAAGACTAGCACGGCTTATCTACTTGTATTCAGATACAAGGTAAAGACCTCATGAGCTACAGATATGGAGATGTCTTAGCTAAAGTCGTGAGTGGACCTATAAGGGTATAACTCGCACTGAACAGACCCACAAAGAGGCTCTATGAGGAAATCTCACAAATAGTATCATTAGAGCATCTTCTTATTATTTGGGTATGTCTTTCCTTAGACCAGAAGTTTTCACCTAGACTATGTTCTAGATGCATGTTTTGATTGTATACCTCGTCTGCCTGAAACATGGAGATTCATAGGTATACCTTTGGGCATGTCCTGAAAGAACACAAGCCTAGGGTGATAAGTTGAAGGAATTCGTCAAATCTCTGTGAGGGATTAGGTTATCTGTAAACCGGAGAAATCGGGATGACATTTACGGGACTCGGGAATCTATGCATAGTAAAAGAGATCATGAGATGATCTGCCTTTAGAGTCAGTAAATTGAAGATTCCCTATTTCAAATTAAAGCTTACCCTAAACCACAAGGGTTGATACATGTAACATCCCATGAGAATTAGGAACTTACATAAATTACCATTAGCATTGTAAATGCAAGTCTTGAATTCAAATCATTTACATACAATTATGATGGGATGAATTTTAATAATATTGATTACATTATATGTGGAAACTTTAGTTACTACCTAATGGATACATGAAATAATAACTATTAGGAAAATTATTTTATGAACATCTATGGGTGAGTTTATATTTGAGGTATTCGAAACATTTGTTAAATAGGTAAAATTAATATTAATTACAATGTATAAAAATCTTAGTCAATACTTAGTAAACTACATGAAATAAGGTTTCTTAGGAGTTAAAAATTGGACCTTGCTATCCTTAATGGGCCACGGCCAATCCTTTCATTGTGGACCAAATTTAGCACAAAATCTATTTCTACTACCATCAAGTAGCTTATCTGGTAGAAATCTGAAAACTAATCCCCATTGGTCAAAATGCCATCTCAACCTCAAGACTTCATGTATGCTTGACACCTAGTTGATTTCCCTTATGCATGTCTGCCACCTTGCACGCCAATAGGACACTTGGAGATTTTCTTTCTCATGGTTCGGTCAAGTCATTGAATGGCCAAGGTACCATTTCTCTTAGACAAAAATCTGACTCACATCTAGTTTCCCCCCATGCATCGGCCAAGTTTCAAGTTGTACCAAGAAGTACTCCTTAATATTTTCATACTGATCTATCCTTGAAACGTGACTCAGTTACCTTGTGCGCATAACTCTAGCAAGAAGAATCTGATTGTTTTTGCATGTTGTCCTAAATCGATCAGCACACTCATTCCTCCTCCTCCTTGCACATCATTGAGAGAACCAAACCGAATCCTACAACCTCCACTCAGATTTTTTGCATGCAAGAGGAGACAGCCACCCCCTTCCTTCTCTAGCCGTGGACCACCAAGAGGAAGAAGTAAAAGTCTCCATGTTCCTTCTTCCTTTTGCTTCCCCAAAGACCGTGAGTTGTACTAGAGAAAGAACCACCATACAGCTCCCATCTCCATTCCTTCTCGGTTCGGCCAAGGGTATCATCTAGGGGGCGAAGTATTTTCTTGTTGATTCCTTGCTCATTTTTCTCTCACCGGTCTAGGGAAAACTTTCCACTGCATGCAGATAAAATAAAAACACAAACCATTCTCTTATTTTTCCTTTGGTTCAGCCGCTGGTCATTATCCAAGGAGGTGAGGTGTCTCTTTCATCTCTTTGTTCATTCTTTCGTGGATTGGCTCTGTTTGAACCCTCTTCTACTTGCATGCAGCTTAAGCTCGATCTACCAGAACATTGAAAGAGTGGATTGTGTAGTTTTCTGATTTGTGAGTGTGTCAATACAAGGAAGTAAAGGCCGAACTCAAGCTTTATTTTTCCCCATTGTTACGGGTTACAGGTGTGTCCTAGGAAGTTAAAATTTTTGTCATTCTTGTTGCCTTGTTTATGCACATTTAGACTGATTTGGACCTAACACTTGCAAGCTCAAAGAACGTTTTCTTTTCTTCCTATTGGAACTGGGAACTATAGCCTATTGCATTTTATGGGATGATTTAGTGATAGGAAGATGTATCCAGTACTACATGTATTATAATTAATTGTGTAGCATGTTTAAAGACCCCCTTTAGCGCACTCATGACCTAGGAGAGTTGTTTTGTGAACCAGAAATTTCGTGAGCATTTTACTTGGTAAGAAACCGAATCTGTTTGAGTTAAGAAATTTAGTGACAACATGCTCTAGGCCCCTTTATCGTACCCTTGTATGTGTTGGATTTCATCATTGTAATGAGCTACTAAATTTATAAGAAGTCAGAAATTTATTCAGTAAAATGATAATTTCTAGCAAGGAATGGAATACTATTGAGGGCATAATGTAATCAACCCTAAGAATCCTTTAATTCGATGAAAGTGCATGATTTAGGAGCTTAGAAATTATTGGGATAGTTGTATGAAATTCTGATTTGGTACGATGATATATTAGGTGCGCAAAACACTTGAGACTTTGGATTATTCCGCTGCTGCCTGGTAATTTATTTGTGACGCGCGAGGTAAGTGTTTGGTGGTATTACCTAATGTGATTATTGGCTAGCGTATAGAATTGTGAATTGTTGCTCACATGTGCCTTGGATTAATGTGCTGTCATATGCTATATGTATGCTGCCAATGAATGTGACAAGATGGAAAATCATGAATGAGAAGTAATTGTTATGTGGCAGCCTGGTATGGAAAGTACATGAAAGATATGCTATTATGATGATGATGGTACGGAAAGTGTAACATCCCACACAATTGGGGAAATACATAAAATATTATAGGGCATAAGAGTGAATGTGTGACAAATCGAATCACATGTAATATGTGCTGGGCTTTCGAATTATATGGTTATTAGCATGGAATTAAGATTGAGCTAGGGAAATTACTTGAATTATAATAATAGGTGAGAATTTATTTTAGGCATGTGAAGCCTTAGAAAAGATGTACAAATTAATTATAGCAAATTGTAGAAAGAATTAAATATAATTACAACACTTGGGAATTTATATTTTATGGATAAGTACTTAAGTTAGCTACATTTTGGGCTTGTATACTTTTGATCCTTAATTGATGTTTGGCCGAAGCTTTAGGGCTTTAGGAGGTAGCCTTGGTTCAGCCCAACTTTTGTGTTTTACCTAACCCTTAGAACCTTACAATGGAAACCCTTGAGTGGTAGTAACCAACACTTGGCAAATCCTATCTTAATCTCTCCATTTGTGCGCATAATGGGAAGCCAAAGACAAAATTCTGACTTGCTTTTGTTAATCAAACTCAATCCAGCCTATGCATGTCTCCTAGCTTCCAATTGGTTGCATGCGTGCCACTTGGCTCTCCCACTCACTTGCTTGTACTTCATGTGGCAACCATAAGCCTTCCACCACCCTTGCATGCGCTTAGAGTGTAGAGAAAGCAATCAGATTTTTTGTTGTGCTATCTAACCACACTTTCCCTCACATGTACGCATGGGACTTGTAAAAATGAGAAAAGAAAAATTCTGAATAAGCCTCTCAAAAGAAACATAACCAGCCCTTCCACCTATCCTCTCTCATGCGCATGGTTTGTAACAAAAGGTAGCTGATTGCTTGTTAAACCAGCTAAATAATACAACTTTAAGTACATACAGCCAATGGTAGACAGAGAGGTCAGTTTGCATGCGTTATTATTGGGAAGAATTGCCACCCAAATCTTCACCCCTTTGAGCGCCTAAGAGAGAGAGAGAGTGATATAATACAAATTCTGATCTTTGATTTATTTTAAGACCAGCCAACTCAACTCCATCTTTGTACCTTCAAGCGCTGATTGAGCAGAGAAAGATCTCACCATTCTTCAACCACTTTCTCTTTAATACAAACCTCAACCTTAGTGACTAGAGACTCAAAAGAAAAGCAAGACATTTGCACTTTACTTCCCCCCACTTCTCATGACCGTGTATGCCCTTGAATGCATACAAAAGGAACTCTAAAAATCTTATTCTCCTCTCATCTTCTTTCTTCCAGAAACCGTAAGACTTGGAAAATAAATGTCATTGAGGAACTCATTCCATTCCTCCCCTGCTAGCCGAGGTTCCCCACACAAGAAGGATTGACTTCAAGAAAATTCTTTCCTCCCTTGGTACGCACAACCGTCGTTTGAAGAGTTGAGTTGCTGCTCCTTTATTGGAATCGGTTTTTCTTGTGTGCTGCAAAGAGGTAGGCACAAAACCTCCCTTCTTTTTCTCTGCTCCAAACCGTGATGCATGCCTAGGAAATGACTCTTTTATTTTATACTTGGCTCTTTTAGATTCTGTCAGTTTCTATCCTTAGACTTTAGAATGAAAACATAAAGAAAATGAACCTTGAAATGCTCTTCTAACAAAGTATAGGGGCTGAGTTAGTGTATCTAAAATTGTTAAGATGTTAAATAAAGAGGACTGTATGTTTTGACCCCTAGTAACGCAATCTTAAAAGTAGTATATGAGCTTTTTAAATAAATTATCCTTGATGTTGGTTTATATGAAATCGGTTCTGACTTGGTAACTTTTGTTATGAGCTAAGTCCTATTCTAATTTAAATATTCAGCATGTTGTCGAACCCCTATTCTCGCACCCTTAGTCTTGTTGAGTTAAATTTCGAATAAATGTCATTAGCTCTTTATTTATTAAAGCCCATTCTGTTTTGGTAAATCTAGTTATGAACTAGGTCCTTCTTAAATCAAAATACAACATGAGGTTAGACGTTTCTCTCCCTCACATATGGCCTTGTTAAGCTAAAAATTTAATTAAGTGTCTTGAGTCCTTTGTATGATGAAACCGGTTCTGTTTGGGTGTGCTTAGTCACTCTTAAACGTTGGAATATTATTATTGAAGTCAGAATACTTTTGGGAAAAGATCATTGATGGCCGAATGGGGTACATGAGCTGTTAAGCTAGGAAATTATTGGTAATTTATAGGAATGGTTTGAACGTATCCTGATTTTTGTTGCACTATATGTTAGGTGTGCAACCCCCTTGAAACTTTGGATTATACACCGCTGTCTGGTAAAAAATTTGGAACGTATGAGGTAAGTGTTTGGCGGTATTACCTCTTGTGACTGCTAGCTAATACATGAATTGTGAACGTTGCTCTCATGCACCTTGGTTATGAATTTTTGTCTATGATAATGGGATTTTGCTCATGGTCTTGCTTTGCTGAATACTTTGTTTTGGAGAATTATTAGTTATCCAGCATTCTGATATTGGAAAATCCATGAGATATGTATCTTGGTTATGTATATGGGTTCTGTTTTGGACTTGAAATGCTGCTTATTCTATTTTGATTATTCCGCAGCATCTTGATATTGAGCCCATAAGCTATATGAAATCTTGAATATTATCTAGTCATGCATGTACATTCATAATTTTTATTTGTATGTTGCGTGTGAACCATGACATATCATACATGCACAAGTTTCATGTTTGTAACTGGAAATGTTTTCGAAAACTATGCATACGTTTGAGCACGCATCATGTAGGCATCCCTGCGGTACCAGGGTATGGGACACTTGGCTTCAGTCCGTTTAGGTTACAGTTGGAACCCTCCGAGGAGCCATTAAGGGAGGGACCTCCACTGTACTTATGTGTACAGGCACGACGGTGCTGTACATTTTAGGCGTTATATACGCATCTTGACTAGTATATTTGGCGTTATATACGCATCTTGATTAGTATATTTGGTGTTATTTACGCAATATGATAAAGTTTAGTATCTGCCGGATTTAACTTGATGATGCGACTGTTTTGTAATTCTGTATTTAGTTAGTATTGTTGCATTACTGGTTTTGTTGCCACACTACTGGGATTTTTCTCACCCCTTTGGGGCTGCTATTTTTACAAAATGGCAGGAGGGCGGAAGAGCATATGAAGTCATGATTATATGGATATCTGTTGTTATGTGCTGCTGTTGGGATTTTTGTTGTTGCTGTTTATTTGATGGATAACTGTATTAATTTGAGAAGTTTGGATTACTGTCGGATTATGATTTTACTACTGTTTTAAGACTTTTATGATCAGCAAAAAATTTGGAACCAAATTCTAGAAACGTTTTGTGAAAATAATGTTTGACGTTTTATTTAAGTGTTGGTTTTTAAACAGTCTTGCGAGCACTTTGCGAGTTATGTTTCGAGGGGAAAACGAACTCTGAATTACTATTATTTTATATGCACGCGAAGCCCAGACGTGCTCTTTCTAGATCATATAGAATATTCTTTTGTATCGTTGGAACCGATTTTATACAAATTTTTAAAGACAGCAACGACTGCACAGGAAATTACTATTTTCAGCAAGTTAAGAAATTTTAAAAGCATAATCTGATTTTTGTAAGGAACTTGATTTCAATTACAAGTTTTATTTAGCAACATTAAATAATGATTTTTCAGTACTTAACATATGACAAGAGAACTCTAATTCCGCTTAGGAAACAACTCTCTTGGAGGCCTACAAGGGAGGGTGTTACAGAAAGTACATGAAAGATATGCTATTATGATGATGATCTAGTCATGCATATACACCTCATAATTCATTTGTTTCTTGTTTGTGTGTGAAGCATATCATGGCATACATGCACGAATTTCATGCTGTTCATATATGGATTAGAATATTTATATAAATATGCATACGATTGAGCACGCATCATATAGGCATCTCTTCGGTACCAGGGTATGGGACACTTGGCTTCAGTCCGCATAGGCCACAGTTGGAATTCACCTTGATGGGAGCCATTATGGAATATCCACTGTGTATGTACGCGCACGATGGTGCTATGAGCGTAATGATGGCGTTATATACACACTATGAAATGTTAGTACGCGCATGAAGGTGCTATAAGCGTAATGATGGCGTTATATACGCACTATGATATGTTAACGAAAAATGAAATGTTGATGTGACTATTTTATAATTTTGTACCTAGTTTAATACTGTTGCATTATTGGTTTTGCTATCACACTACTAGGATTTTTCTCACCCCTTTGGGGCTGCAATTTTTATAAAACTGCAGGAGAACGTAAGAGCATATGAGGACGTGATTATATGGATACTGCTGTTAATTGTTGTTGTTTGGATTGTCTACTATTGACTATTTATTTGATGGATGACTGTATTATTTTGATATTTCGAGAACTTGGATGAAAGTTGGAACTATGATTTAGCTACTGTTTTAAGACTTTTATGATCAGTTATTACTTTGGAAAAATTCTGAAAACGTTTTGCGAAAATAATTTCTGAACGTTTTATTAATTGCTGATTTATTTACAGTTTTGCGAGCACTTTGCGAGTTATGTTTCGAAGGGCAAACGACCTCCGATTTACTAATAATTTATGTGCACGTGAAGCCCCAGATGTACTCTTTCTATATAACAAAGAATATTTTTTTGAATTGTTGAACTTGATTTTATACGAATTTTACAAGACAGCAAGGTCTGTCGGGAAAGTTAGGAAATTCAGCAAGCTATGTACTTTTTTTAAATTGTCACTCTGAATTTTAGGAACAACCAGATTTCGAGCAAGTTCTTAATTGTAACTCAAAAATGATTTTTCAGTATTTAAGTAATGACATTAGAACTCTAATCCGCTTAGCAAACAACTCTCTTGGATGCATACAAGGGAGAGTGTTACAATACATCTCCTCACCCTAGGTTTAATGGGAAGGTAACCGAGACAAAAGGAAATACATACGGTAACCAAATACATTTAATAGGATGATCATGTCATTAACCTAACTAGCTCTTGGGCAACAAAGCATTGCTAGTGCTTTGTGTTGTCATTAAATGAGTTGTGGTCTTATTGGGCCCAAGTCCATTTATGTTAGTGGCTAAGTTGGGCCTAATGGATCACACACTAACACCTTATTGTCTTGACATTATATCATTAAAGGTTTTCGGCCTAATAATGGTTGTTAGCCCAAAAAGAAGTTTGGATGCCCACCTTAGAGGGAAAAGGGCGCATGGATTGTTGTAATGGGCTTGGATGGTCCAAGACATTATTAATTAATTTAATTATTAAATTAATTATCTAATGTTTAAATTTAAAATTTAAATTATGAATTTGAATTTTGAATTTAAATATTTGAATATTTAAATTAGAATGTTCAAATTTGAATTGGCTATGAAAGGAAGTTTCATAACAAAAGGAAAGGATAAGATCTTGATAGTATCTTGTCAAGATCAAATCTCAAGTATCAAGAGGAAATATTTGGACATCATCAAAGATGATTGGGGCGCTGATTTGGTGGCTTAATGATGGTCATTTAATCAACAAATCAAGCTCCATTCAGATTTGGTTGGTTATGGAAATATTTGATTTAGTTGATTCAATTTGAATTGCAACTAATCAATATTTTTGGAATGATTTTGGGCTGATTGGGGCGCACAATATGGCTGATCATATAATGGTTATTAGGTCAAAATATTGACTAGGTGCAGACTTAGTTTTAAGAGGATAGGATAGGAGTTTGTTGACTAGATTTGATTTGCAACAACTCCACTCTTTCCTCCACAAAAAGGGGCGCTCCATGATCAGATTTTTGTGTGAAAATTCTGATTCAAATTTATTCCTCTTTCATCTCCTTAAGTGTTTTCCTTTTGTGATATTCTCCTTAGGGTTTTTGGAAAATAAAAAAAGGCCATTCTCTTCTACAATTTGTGCGCTACTTTGTGTGAGTTTTATGGCTGAAAATTCTCTCATCTAAACAGAATAAAATCGAGCTTCCTACCTCTTCACAAGGAACGCCTAGCTTGCTCCTTTGTGGTGTTAGAATTGGTGGCTTTTCAAGAAGAGTTCTTGCGTCTTGACAAAGGGTGGTGTGGATCAACATTAGAGAGTTTGAACCTTCAAGCCTAACATTGATCACCTTCGAGTTTTGAGTTACGAACAAGGTATCTCTCTGTCCTAGAGTATGTATCTTAATTGGTATGTGTGTTTCCGCTTTGAAATTTTTTTTTTTCATCCTCACATGCCTACGGCCTTCAAAGCTCTATCTTTCAAAGACTAGGTAAATGTGTGGAATCATGTGGGGATCTGTTGAACAAAGAACCACCCACCCATAGTCTAATATGGTTAAGTTAAAAGAAAATTGGTTATGACTTGTGTGTATGGCATAATGTTGGCATAAGAATTGATAAGTAAAAGATGAAATCAATAAATGGTGTGTCTAGTTAATTACTTGACTTTGAACTATTTTATTGATATTTCTGTGGATTCCCTATTCTAGGTGCGCCTATGAGTCTTGTTGAGGATCCTACACCAGAGGAGGCTAGGTAACTCGTGTTTCAAGTAGGCCATTTATACATCTTCAATAGGTAAACTCTATGTTTAAGGGGTTCACTCCTACTTTGTGTTCCGCCATAGTGTACAGACTATGGTCGGGTTGTATGATATGTATGAGATATATGATATAGATGCATTTATATAGAGCTATATGATGATGTGATATGATATGTTTTATGTGATATGTATGATGATTCTTGGCCATTGAATCGGTGTGCATCAACTCCATGTAGGGGAGATATCCTTGGGAATAATGGTGTACACCACTGAGATATGAGATATTCCATGTAAGGGTGAGACCCTTGGGAATAAGTGCATTGATTTCCACTTAGAGAGAGGTTCTTGGGGAATGACTACGTACTTCAGAGATGATATATGTGATATGTTCAGTACAGTATGATATATGATGTTTTGTATATTATGTATCTGACTATCATGCAGGAAGTGAGCCCAGGGTATGAAGAGTTCTCTATAAACCTGGAGCTTACTGGAGATTCATCTTTCACCCCGTTTGGGGATATGATTTCAGGTACACAGTTAGTTGGAGAGCCCTCAAGGGGCAAGGACCCTTCCCGTGGCTAGCATGAGGATATGGAGTTTTGGGTAGCCGGAGGCTACTATTTATTTAGGGATCATGATGTCTGATCTAGAGTTATTATGTATATGGCTTGTATATGTGTTGTACATGCTTTTCGCTTTTGATGCATGTACATTTTAGTATTCAGGCATTATTATGAGATGAGGTATATTCTGATATGTGATTATTGCATGTTGTTAGATTTAGAGGCACAGAGCCTTGTATGCATGTGCCCATGGATGGATTTTATAGTCATATGCGATATATATCTGATATATTATGATGTATGTACTTATCAGGATATTATGAGAGTGAGATTATATCCCTGTTTATTCGAGAAATAAATGGAACTCTGTCCGATTTGAGACTCCGTCTGGAATGACACTTATAACACCTCGCAATTCTAAAACATGTAATTGTATATTAAATGTGGATTAAAGGATAGGATTAATGAAAATCCTAAAATTAAGGCCAAAATCAAAGGAAGGGTAAAACGGTAATTAGCCAAACACGTAACCCTAGGAAGGTAAAATTGAGTAGGAAATCTCAAATGATAAAAATAATCCTGGAAATGGATTCAGAACGAAAAATTGAGTGGTTAGACAAGTTTCGAAAAATTCGGTGAATAGTGTTTTTGCCGAGTAAAAATATCGCGGTACAATTGCACCGTAAAGCGTGCCGATTGAGTTTTGAGCTCTCGGTTTGCATATAAATTATAAATGATTTGTACGACTTGGAAATATGATTTCTGATGGAAATTGACGGAAATTAGTGAGTTTGGGGAAGCGTGCCCACGGCGCGAGTAACATCTTAAAACTGCAATTTCTCCGAACGACCAGAAAACTCCGGATTCATCTGATCAAGGGTAATTAAAGGACAATGGTTAATGTTAAAAATTAGAGTTTCTAAATAGTTTATGAAATTATGAACGTTTAGTGGAATCAGAGGGAGATTCGAATTAGTTTGAAATCGCGTGAGGTGGCAGTGGGGCCCACCTCACTTAAGTGGACTTGGCCACCTTGGACAACATAAAAATCTGGTCTTTCTCTGTCCTTCCCCCACCCAAACCAGCAGCCACCATTGATGGAGAAGGAAGCTTGGCTTCGAATTTTCTTTCTCTCATAACTCCTTCAATACTACTCCGAATCAAGAAAAGTTTGTGAGCAAAGTTGTTGAAAATCATCACCCGAACACATCCCACCGATTAGTTTCCCTTGAAACC